ACTGTAGGCCTTACTCGTTTCGGAGCTTTTCGGCGGGCTCCTGGCAGCGGGGCTCTTTCGGATGACGCACCGCAGCGAGTTCGTGGAAGTGTGACGGGCTTGGTCTGCTTTCGGTCACAGATACACTGGAGACATGAGTCGTTTGCACGGCGGAGTGTCGGGCAGGGAAAAAGATGGAGACAAGGGCGATAAGAGCGATGACGTGAAGGGCTTCGAAAAGGACCACCTGCAGATCAGCTCCCTTTTGCAGGCAGGAAAGGTCGGTTTGGGCCTGCTTGCCTGTGGAGGAGACCGCAGAGGCCGACGTGGAAGCGGCTGCGGAAGCCGCTTCTTCGTGATGACGAAGGCGCCTTTGCAGGGGGAAGTCTGCGCTGGCCGCTGGCCGTCACCTAAACCATGTGGATTCACTGAGCACTGGGCACTTTCTGCTGCAGGCCTCCATGCAGTCTGTGCTGATGGCGAAAAAAGTCGGGAAGGGTAGGGAACGGACAGACGGTTGCAGTGAAGGAGAGGAAGCCACACTGACGAATCGGGTGGATCCGACTCACCTCGATAACACCAGGAGTTGAGGAGGCATGGCTTGTGCTTGTTGAAGTTTCTTCGGGCCAGTAGCCGAAGCCTCTCTGCAAAACTGCAAGATTCTCTGAATCATGGCTTACCGCGGTGGTTCTTGGAGGCGAAATGCATCCAGTAGGCTCTGCTTGCATCTTCCCACCGAGGGCATGGGGCATAGGGATGTTGGCTTTTAGCCGTTTGTCGGCCGCTGGAATCAGCTGCTCGAAACATGACTAGGATACCAGAATCCTTATGCAAGCGCCTCAGTATCAACATATCCGAAGACGTCTGACATGTCCAACGATTCATCCGGCAGAAACATTCGCTGAGTATATTGCCAAGCTCTCAGCTGGCCTGTGAAGTCATCTATAGAGGAAGACAGGTGCTCAGAATGAGATATCAAGTTCTGTGGCTGCTCTGTGCGAAACCTCAGCACACTGCACTGAAACGCAAGGAACCCAACCCTGACTCAAGTACCATATGCACCGCGAGAGCTTGAACGTGAAATGACATCAAAGTCAGTCAAGATGGCTTCCTTCAGCAGTGGGGTCATGATCTCCAGGCACGGTTGACAAAGACAGCGGCAAAGGGTTGTCTGGCAAAAGATTGTCTCGACCACCAGGAGTGAAGCCCAAAGGCAGAAGGGCGATGAGCTCCGAATGCGTGCTGCTTCTCGACTGAAACGATGTAGGAGAGAGTTTTCACTCGCAGGCATCATCACATAAGACACGACCTGAGGCTGGTATTGATCCCACCAAAGTCGACGAGCAATGGGCGGGAGAGGCGTCGCTCGCAAGGAGCTTCTGACTTGGCAAGAGCGATAACGCACACACAGCCGCAGGGCAGGTCTGGGGTTTCTTTCGGGCGGGAACGAAGGATACATCTGGACAGCAGTTGGTTTCAAAAACGTTGGCCCCATTGCAACAAGCTCGGAAAACCAGACGGCCCGATTCAGAAACACGGGTCGTGAACTCAGAAAATGGATTCGACCAATGCCGAGGTCAGACCAACTGCTGCTCCTGCCGCTCCTGCTGCTGCTGCTGATGCTGCTACTACTACTACCACCACTACTAGTACAAGTACTACTACTACAAGTAGCCACGCCCCCGGCCTACCAACCTCCTGGCGCCTAAACCCATCATCATCATCATCATCGATGGTATTGGACTACGACATCACGAAAGAACTTTAAATAGCGAGTAGAAAGGATGTGCTTTTGAAAAGTACGTCATCATGCCCTCCCCCCACCTGCCCCGCAAGCAGCAACAGCGCTCAACAGCGGAGGTTGGTACCGGGTTCAGTTTTTTGGATCCTCCGACAAACATTTTCGTTTAGGGTGTAGGGCTTTGCAACCAATGTCCTCTGCTAGGGTGTTAGGGATTGCCAGCCAGCTTCGAGCTTTCAGAGCTGTCAACCAAGATCTTCTTCTAAGTGTTGAGGTTGGCTGTCGTTTATTGGGGGTTTGGGGCCCAACACAAGTTGCTTCATGTAATTCCATCTTTCAGGGTTCAAGGCTTGGCAACGATATCTTCTTCTTTTGGAGTTTGGGGTTGGCCCATCACGATCTCCTTGCATCCTTTTGGGCCGTTTGTTTTGACGTTTTCTCATTTTCACGTTCGGGTTTGCGAGCCAGCATCCCCCTTTAAGGTTCTGGCTTTGCCAGCAAACATCATTTAGGGTTTTGGGGATTTGCAACCAACGTCTTCTGCTAGGGTTTGGCCAGCCAGCATCATCCACAATGTCTTCTTCTTTAGGGTTTGGGACTTGCCATCAATTTTGGTGTTGCCAGCCAACATCGTCTTAAAGGGTTTGGGGATTTGCAACCAACGTCTTCTGCCCGTTCGGGGTCTCGGGGTGTGTCGGCCCGCACCTTCTTCTATGTGTTGAGGGTTTGCCAAAACACATTTTGTAGAATGCAAGGCTACCGTTTAGGACTTGGCAGCAATCCCTTCTTCTTTTAGGGTTTGGGGCTTGTCCGCATTGGGTGTTGCCAACCAACACCTTCTTTTAGGGTTTGGGGCTTAGCAACCAATGTCCTCTGCTCGGGTGTTAGGGATTGCCAGCCAGCTTCGAGCTTTCAGAGCTGTCAACCAAGATCTTCTTCTAAGTGTTGAGGCTGGCTATCGCTTATTCAGGGTTTGGGGCCCAACACAAGTTGCTCCATGTAATTCCATCTTTCAGGGTTCAAGGCTTGGCAACGATATCTTCTGCTTTTGGAGTTTGGGGTTTGCCCATCACGATCTCCTTGCATCCTTTTGGGCCGTTTGTTTTGACGTTTTCTCATTTTCAGGTTCGGGTTTGCGAGCCAGCATCCCCCTTTAAGGTTCTGGCTTTGCCAGCAAACATCATTTAGGGTTTTGGGGATTTGCAACCAACGTCTTCTGCTAGGGTTTGGCCAGCCAGCATCATCCACAATGTCTTCTTCTTAAGGGTTTGGGACTTGCCATCAATTTTGGTGTTGCCAGCCAACATCGTCTTAAAGGGTTTGGGGATTTGCAACCAACGTCTTCTGCCCGTTCGGGGTCTCGGGGTGTGTCGGCCCGCACCTTCTTCTAAGTGTTGAGGGTTTGCCAAAGCACATTGTGTAGAATGCAAGGCTACCGTTTAGGACTTGGCCGCAATCCCTTCTTCTTTTAGGGTTTGGGGCTTGTCCGCATTGGGTGTTTTGCAACCAACGTCCTCTGCTCGGGTGTTAGGGATTGCCAGCCAGCTTCGAGCTTTCAGAGCTGTCAACCAAGATCTTCTTCTAAGTGTTGAGGCTGCTGGCTATCGTTTATTCAGGCTTTGGGGCCCAACACAAGTTGCTCCATGTAATTCCATCTTTCAGGGTTCAAAGCTTGGCAACGATGTCTTCTGCTTTTGGAGTTTGGGGTTTGCCCATCACGATCTCCTTGCATCCTTTTGGGCCGTTTGTTTTGACGTTTTCTCATTTTCAGGTTCGGGTTTGCGAACCAGCATCCCCCTTTAAGGTTCTGGCTTTGCCAGCAGACATCATTTAGGGTTTTGGGGATTTGCAACCAACGTCTTCTGCTAGGGTTTGGCCAGCCAGCATCATCCACAATGTCTTCTTCTGTAGGGTTTGGGACTTGCCATCAATTTTGGTGTTGCCAGCCAACATCGTCTTAAAGGGTTTGGGGATTTGCAACCAACGTCTTCTGCCCGTTCGGGGTCTCGGGGTGTGTCGGCCCGCACCTTCTTCTTTGTGTTGAGGGTTTGCCAAAACACATTTTGTAGAATGCAAGGCTACCGTTTAGGACTTGGCAGCAATCCCTTCTTCTTTTAGGGTTTGGGGCTTGTCCGCATTGGGTGTTGCCAACCAACACCTTCTTTTAGGGTTTGGGGCTTTGCAACCAATGTCCTTTGCTAGGGTGTTAGGGATTGCCAGCCAGCTTCGAGCTTTCAGAGCTGTCAACCAAGATCTTCGTCTAAGTGTTGAGGCTGGCTATCGTTTATTCAGGGTTTGGGGCCCAACACAAGTTGCTCCATGTAATTCCATCTTTCAGGGTTCAAGGCTTGCCAACGATATCTTCTTCTTTTGGAGTTTGGGGTTGGCCCATCACGATCTCCTTGCATCCTTTTGGGCCGTTTGTTTTGACGTTTTCTCATTTTCAGGTTCGGGTTTGCGAGCCAGCATCCCCCTTTAAGGTTCTGGCTTTGCCAGCAGACATCTTTTAGGGTTTTGGGATTTGTCTGTGTTCGGGGTCTCGGGGTTGTCGGCCAGCATCTGTTTCCAATGTTGAGGGTTTGCCAGGGCCCAACAGAGTTAGTAGAATGTAAGGCCAATGTAAGAAATGTACGGCTACCGTTCAGGGTTTGCCAGCAATACCTTTCTCTTTTAGGGTTTGGGGTTTGTCAGCCTTTGTTTTTTGCCAATCAACATCTTCTTTTAGGGTTTTTGGCTTGGCAGCCAATGTCTACTGCTACGGTGTTAGGGTCTGCCAGCCAGCATCGTTTGGGACCCAACACAGTTTGTATAATGCAGGGCTATGGTTTGGGGCTTACCAACACAATGACATTGTTTTGAGTTTCACCCAATATCATAGTTTTTTAGGATTTTGGTGGGTGCCAACCAACATCGCCGTTCCCTTGCAAAGTGCATTAAGAGCCCCTCTCACGGTACTTCGAGGAAAAGGCGTTCTAGGTCTAAGTAGGCTGTAGACGGGGTGAAGTGGAAGCCGCAATTTGCGATACGCAAACCTCCGGTTGTAGCCTGCTTTCAGAAATCTACCGGTATTTCGAGTATGTGTCCATGCTTTGAAAGCGGGTTTTGTATCGGCGACCACCATTGTACACGATCCCCGCATCTTGAGTATCACTTCTGTTCTGACTATTGCTGTGCGGCCGAATATCAGACGAAATATGTTTCCAGAATTTGCGTTGTTTTCCGACTTGTTCAAGTTCTTCGAAGATATTTTCCGAACTTGTCCACATCCGTCTGCCAGGTCATGTCTCGTCGGCACAAGAAGGAAGTAAAGGTTGACGAGGTGCCTCTGCCTACGTTCTGCAGATGGCCCGATCTTGATACTTGGTAAGAGTAGAGACAAGCAACGTGGGCCAACACGAACTTGATGCCTTCCGCTACCTTCTGAACAAGACAGATCGTTGCAGATGCCAGGCACAAGAAAAAGAGAAAAAGGAAGCGGCAGATCTGGCGATGGACAAGCGGGAGGCCGATTAGGACTGGGATGCCCGGTAGGTGCCTCCGCCTTCATTGTCAGGTTGTGCACAAAAGGCCAGAAGGCCGCCTGAAATGGCTGCACAAAGTCCCGGTCCCGGCGTACCGTGACGTTGCAGAGCGCGAGGATGATGTGCGTGCCAAGGCCTTAGTTCTGGCCTCAAAGGGCCGGGTTTCCATGCCCACGATCTACGATATAGCAGCTTGGCAGAGAGACCCGTGAACTCCGTATTTCTTATGCCACAGGGATTCGGCAATTTCTTCTTACGTTTGCAGTGTTGATTCGGGGTCTCTGGCGCTTTGCGTGGCTTGTGAGCCACCGGGCTTTTGGTAGTTTTGACAAGCTGGCGTCGCGCAACGTGTTCACAGGTGAAGTCCTCCCAGTTCACCTCCGGCATGAACTCAAAGGCCACGCTTTGGACTGTCTGGAGTGAGCCAAACTGTGCCGCTGACAGGTCGGACTGCAGATCAAGGGCATGGTACTCGCCAACCTTCATCTCTTCAAGAAGGTCCAAGAGCATTTGCGACTGCTGCATTTTGGACAGACCTTGGATATCTGACGAGATCGCTCAGCTTGCCAGGAGCAACAGAAAACCCTGCAGCACAGCAGGCCAAGCTCCGGATTGGGCTTGGGTAGATGGCGTCGGCATGCGTCACCTCGCCTTGTTCCCTTGGAGGCTCATGAGCTTCTCCGAGGATGGCTCCGTGCCAGCAGGCGAAGACAAGTGCGGGCTGTGCTGACCCAGAGTGCTGTGCGCTGGCGTGTGCTGAACCAGGCAACTCTGACAGCGAGGAGTCCAAGCGAAAACGGAAGAGACGGAGATCCAGCCGCCGACTCGGAGAATTCGTCTTCTGATGGAGGAAGCTGAGAAAAGAAGATGGAGAGAGGTGTCTGTGTCTCTGTGTGCCCGTTTTGCGGGTGTGTGTGTGTGTGTGTGAGTGGGTGTGTGTGTGTGTGTGTCCTTCATGTTTGCATGATTATGCACGCATGTATGTACGTAGGTCTGCAGGTCTACAGTTTCGCAGGTCCGTCCGTCCGTCCGTCTTCTCTGTGTATGTCTCTCCGTCTCTCTGTCTCTATCTGTCTGTCTGCATGCACGTTGTTCTGTGTGTATCCATGTATGTACACACTTATGTATATATGTATGTCAATGTATGTACGTATGTCTGCGTGCTCGCACAAGTATGTGGTGCATGCGTGGGTGGTGTGGTACGGGTGCAGGTTTCGATGCAAACTTCATCCAGCCCGAATGTTTAAGCCATGACGTAGTGAGATTTTCCGGTTCAGCACTGCCCGAGCCGGAGGCTACAGCAGTGACGATTACAGCCGCAGCCGAAGTAGCAGCTACAGCCGGAATCGCAAGAAGAAGAAGAGCAAGAAGGCTGGAAAGGGCGTCTCTCTGCCGTCCTGCTCCTAGTCAGCTTCAGGTTTGGTAGGCTCCCCGGCACAGTGCGGCACAGCTGGGAGGAGCAGGATGAGGAAAGCAGGCCGAAGGCGAAGGAGAAAGAGAAGGAAAAGGAGAAGGCTACGTTGCGATGCTGCGAGTTTCAGATCTTTACATTGTCAGTTGAGGCTGAGAAGGGTCACAGGCTACAGTTAAGCTCCTGCTGCCGAGTGTGCAGACTGCTCATCCGTCGGATTCCGTCGAGGCAAAGGAGAAGGAGAAGGAGAGAGCCAAAGATAGGGAAAGGGAGAAGCATGAAAAGACGCTGAGAAGCATTGCTTGACACAGAGCACGCTGTGGCATGCTCAGACCGGCTGCTTTGTCGCGTTTGGCCCAGGAAAGCCAAGAAACAGAAGGCCAAGACCTGCCCTGTAGACTTTGGCCAGAGTCGCTTCGTGTTCCGACAGGGCAAGTCTGATGAAGATCCGGATGGGGACAGGGCGAAGGAGAAGCACAAAGAAAAAGAGACTTTCGGCTTGTGAAGATGTCCAAAAGACGTCGATAAAGTTGAAAGCCACAACCCGTTCGCCTGCTCATGAAATAGTTTCGCGATGTTGCGCTGCGCTCAGGAAGACGAAGGATGAAGACTCTGGCAAGAAGCGGCTGGGACAGAAATGTGAGGCTGTGTTGGGGGCCTTTCTCGTTGTTGATATCGTCCAAGGAAGAGCAAGAAGGACAAGTCGAAGGACCAGTTTTGCAGTGGTATAGCGACTGTCATGCTTCTTTCTTGTGCTCAAGCACACGATTTAGTTGGGGGTTGCGCACCATTGTTTGTTTTTGTGGATATCTCCACTGATGGCATCGCGAGGAGTGACGGAAACTGCGTCGCCTCCTTTCCATCGCCGAAGGAAGCCTCGCAGTGGCTTCTGATGGATGGGAGTCATCTCCCACGTTTCAGAGCGATGGCTTCTCCCTTGGAATTCACCACCATTACACCTAGGGACCTAGACCAGACGTTGCGCAATGAGCTTTGTGGAGAATCTGTGAGTTTCAGGCCAGGGAGACAATGGATCTAACAATTGCCGCTAGCCGCTAGCCGAGCCCCGAGGATCCTCAAATCCGGAGCATCAGCCTTCGCGACATCCCAGGCCCCTCCAAGGCGCCTCAGGTCCAGGAGTTCTGGGTGTAACTTGATCGGATGCGTGGCTGCTGCTTGGACTGGGGTTCTCGGCGCTGCCCGCGACTTTGTCACAAGAACTGTGAGAGGACTTCAACTGTCCAGTAGGCGCAAGAACCTGTTTCTTCAGTGACAAGTCAAGTATGACGAAGAATCCTGTCACACTTAGACCGTATCCATCTGTTGACGCTCCCCGGGCGTTGATGTCCTCTCACAACTCTTGCTGATTTACTGACGCGGCAGGTTTGCAGCCTGTTTGCCAATATGTCGAAAAAGTCCGAGCCGACTTGCTGACCCCTTGCATGAAGAAGCTGTGCTGGTGGGTAATGCTTTCCCCGCTGGTGCTTTTGCAGCAGGGATGCTTTGCATATGCGCTGTTGTTTGCTTCAAGCTGCCAGTAGCAGTTTCACGTCCAGATGGTTATGTTTATTTATGTAAATAGTGGTTCGGCCGAAGCCAGACTCATGTTCACAAAGGAGAATGAAAGGTTGTTACCAGCATCACGCCTAAAGGATAATCGGACCGGCCCGAGTTCCGTGTGTTTTTTTCTCCTCGCGATTGATTTTTTGTCTTTCTGTGCGGGATCCTTTGATTCTGATCCAGAGAGCACGCAGCTTGGAGGCAATAGCAGCAATAGCAGTAGCTATGAACGTGGCTGGGAAACGATGTGCGTGCGCGTGTCCACATCGGTCGGGAAGTATTCAAGGGATCGATTTGAAGGAGCTGGCTGCACATTCGGATGCTCTTGGCCGTGAGCCTCCTGCCATTTCCTTCTGCGTGCGACGTGTCGGACTTGTAGCAGCGGGAGCCTCTCTCGGGACTCTGCAGTCCATGCAGACCAGACAGCATCAGCAAAGTGTCTTGCCGGAGCGAGACTTTCAACACGAAACATCGGCTCAACCCAGTTTTGCAAGTAAGCGGATGGAAATCTGTCTGAAGTTGAGGCCCAGCAGCCGAAAAGCATCACAACGCTCCGACGGTGCCTCAGCGGCAGACGCAGAAGAACCCGCTTCGGACAGTTCTGAGTTCCGAGGCTGATCGCGAGCAGCGATGGCTGACCTGGCAGGATATGCTGCGAGGGGCCAGGCCAGGACACCGGTCACACACTAAAGTGACTAAAGCGCTCGCTTCGCATAGCTTCGCCTTTGACTTCCTTCTGTGGAGTGCGGCTGGCGATTGAACCTGCGATGGCTAAATCCCGAGACCCGGAAGCCAGGAGGAAGCGCCAGAAATGGCCGAAACTCCACGAAGCCTCGCCACTTGGCAGAGCTGAGGGTTCACTTCTCGCCATACTTCTCAGCCGTTTACCGGGCTTTACCGGGCTTTACCGTTTGCTGGTCTTAGGATCTTCCGCAGTTCCTCAACATGTTGCAGAGCCGGGATGCTGCTCAACGTGTGGCGGCCCTCGACTCCGTGAACCATGGGATCTTCCAGACAGACACGAATCTCTTCCGACGCTACGTCTGCAACACTGTACAGCTCCGATTGAGCCATGCTGTCCCGAGTCGTGGTACTACAGCTTTAAAGCACCTTCGTTGGGTGCAACTCAGGCAAAGTCATCCCAATGCTCCTCGCTGCAGATTCCGGGATGACGCTTAGAATACTTTGCGCAGCTTTGACCCCTGTGGAGGATGTTGAGCTCTACTGTAGGCGCGGAATCTTTGCTTAAACTGAGGGCCATTGATGGCTAGTGACTGCTTGGCTTCTCGCAGACACGGCCGATACCAACTAGTACGTGATTCAACGTTCTCAGAGCCTTCCTGAAGCCGTGAGCGTGCTCGCTTCGATTGAAGCCACCGGAGAAGACTCGTCGCCTCCTTGAGAAGTGTGGGCCGTGTGCGCAAGCCTCGATCTAAGGCTGAACGACCCTGTCTGGGATGTCAAGCGAGCTGCAGTCCACCTGCTGCTTGTTTTATGTAAGCAGGCCTAACTTCCGTTTATTTGGTATCATACCAGCTTCCTTGCTTTGGCCTCTGCAGGCTGTCTGAGCTTGGGCCACTCTTCGACGACAGCACGATTGGGAGCTTGAACCGATGCTGTGACTGCACAATTGGGTACACGCATGGTGTGTGTGGTATGCTGCAATCGAGGGGCGAAGACAAAGTTTTGAACTCGAGCCCATCTTATTGCTAGCGAAAGTTCTCAGGACTGCTCTTTCACTTTGACCCGGTGGTGCAGTTAATGATCGCTTATGTGCTGAAGAATGTGGAGGGTGCCGATGACTACTTCAGACAGGCATCCGGCCGTGTGATTTCAGCCATTCTCAAGGTTCCGAACCTAGATGCTTTGCCAGAGCGCATGATTTCTATTTGGCACCGAGGTCCTGTCCGACCGGTCGATAGCTCAAGCTTCGGTGGGCCGGTTTGGAGGAATTCTAGAGCAGCTTAGCTGAAGCCAGAGAAGCCTCAAGTCATCAGCTCTCTCGAGGTTGGTGGTGCTGCCTTGTGCTGAGTGAAGTTGTGTTTTTTCACGGAGGTTCCTCGGCTCAGATTACAAAGATGATCGGGAAATTGTTATGACGGCCGTGTCGCAGGACGGGGCAAGGTTTCCTACATGAAGGTTACACCTCTTTGTAAGGCAGGACTCGTAGGTTGGAGGGGTGTGGCACTGTGCCTCAGAAGCCTGAAGCCGGCGGGGCACACGACAGCTTGAATCGGGAGTGTGCAAGGACGGTCGATCATTGAAGTGGCCTGGCCATGCTTTCCTATAGTTCCTTTATGTTGGCCGATGCCGATCGTGCCACATGGCTCTCCGCAGCCCACAAGCGAAGAGTGCAAGCTTGCTGAGGCATGCCAAGCAGGATTTCCGGGACGATGAAGAGGTTGTGCTTGCTGCAGCTGCTTGGCTGGCTCCCAACCGTCGTAGTGAAAGAGTCAAGACCACAAGGGTTGAGCTCCGTTGGAGCACCACCGGGAGTGCAGGTTGCCCAGAATGGCTGCGCAGTACATTGTGCAAACCAGGCCAGGGAAAGCTTCACCATGATGCTTAAGATTTAAACCGTCCTTCCATGAAGCCGTTTCTCAGCAAGAATGCCGACGATGCCTCTTGCTGTATCCATGTAGTTAACAAAGTAATTAGTTGCGTGTACCTGCACACACAGCTTTTCGGTTAGCTGTTGTGGGCATTTAATGGTCACAGGCGGAAGTCTCGAGACCGTGGGGCCGTGGGGTCACCATGCTTCAACTGTCTTTGAGTGCATCGGATCAAACACACACAACACACAGCACACAACACACAACACACAACACACAACACACAACACACAACACACAACACACAACACACAACACACAACACACAGCACACAACACACAACACACAACACACAACACACAACACACAACACACAACACACAACACAGCACACAGCACACAGCACACAGCACACAGCACACAGCACACAGCACACAGCACACACACACACACAACACACAACACACAGCACACAGCACACAACACACAACATGCAACACGCAACATGCAACATGCAACACGCAACACTCAACACTCAACACGCAACACGCAACACGCAACACGCAACACGCAACACACAACACACACACACACAAAGTGCGCGGATCGTCGCCTGAAGTACAGCTGAGTAAGCCTATGTCTATGTAGTGGTAGGAGCCTGAAGCTCGAATGCAGGAATTCTTCCATGGATGCAGCAGAGTTTGCCATAGCAAATGCGGTCCATTTGGTAGTCTATGCCGTACATAGCCGGTCGATTGAGAATCGAGTCAGACATGTCGAAACGTGGGTTCGAATTATCAGGAACAGACCGTCCATGCATCCTTCTGCCGTGGCAGCAGGACATCATCGACAGACACGCCGGTCTCCGCGCTCTTCACGAGGGACGAGGTTTCCAACAGCTAGGTGGAGTTTCGAGCCAAGAGCACGAATCAGAAGATGTCATATCTAAAGGCTTGCTGGTCCATGTATTGCCGGCGTGGGCTTCCGGGCGGGCTTCTATCTGCTCTCAATGGCACATTTGGAGGTATTTCCCTCTGCGGTGACTACCTGGTGATGAACCAGATTGGCAAAGGTGTCTATGGTGAGGTCACAAGAGCCGAGCACATGTGTCTGGCTCGCAATAGGTCCTGGTTGACAGTGCAACAGGTCTAGGCGGTGATGTGCGCGAGACTTCTGCAGTCCAGAGGATCACCGAGAACGTCGTGGCCATCAAGAAGCTGCACTATGACCAGGAGGATGCGTCTTGCCCAGACGCCAGGAGTCGCCAAGATGCCAAGTTTTGGGCACAGTCATGACTTGCCTTCCACCGCTTCCGAATGCTGCCGAGATTTTCTCGATTGAAGCTCCAGGGCTCAAGGGCCAGCTAAGCTTCAGTGAGGTGTTGAAAAATGGTATCTCGCCGCAGACTCTCCGTGAAGTGGCACTGCTGCGCAAGTTGAAGCGCCGTGGCTGCTATGAGTTTCGGCGAGGCGGAGGCGAGTGCAGGTGTCGCCTCGGGTCGATGCGAGTGTTGACATCGCATCTCAAGCAAGGCATCCCAACGTCGTGAGGATGATCGACGTGATGTATATCGGGCTTTTCGTGGCTCGGCCTTGCAATTCCGGGCGCCCCTGGCTGGGCCCCTGGCAACCCACTGAGCGTCACCGGATCTCGCCAGGATCTTCGGCTCGTCTTCGAGCTTCATCCGACCGACCTTCACAAGGAACTCGTTATCTTGAAGCAGA